CCTATAAACACAGTACACCCTCTGTATGCGCAGATGTTGCAGCCTGTCGGTGTGATTACTCCTCTCTGAGGCAGCACAGCTGGACGCGTAAGACACCTGCCTGCTGTTTAACAGCATGTACAGAGTGACAGCTTACATTTTACACGCTGTACTTCCTGAAGTCTTTTAAGGCTCCACTCTTTAACAATCAGATCACACTGGTACAATTAAAGCATTTAAGAATGAACATTTTATTAAATGACTTTTATTAATCATGTGTTTAGTCAGACTGAGATAATTCGGCAAACAAAATGCACACGTTTTTTAATTAATGAAGACATAATGGTAAGAACAATTGTCTGCATCAGTTAAATTAAAGAAGATTAGGTGCATGTTAATGTATTGTGTATTGTTACAAATAATCTGGACATTTAATTTAATTTAAGAAGCTGAATTCATGGAAGACGGAAGTGAAAAAATGCTGATGGTTACAAGGTGATACAAGTTTATATTTAAAATTCAAATGATGGAGGAATTTTCAATAAGACGTGGGTTGCGTAAAATTGTTATATTGAAAAATGCTCATTTTCTGACATGTTTTCAAGGATGAATGAATATATCCATGAGTAGAAAATTACTAATGCAAAACAGAAAAATCCAGTTAAAACCATAAAAAAGCAACCCTGTCATATATGAATCATTGAAAATTATCAAAAATGTCAGTTTTATATGTACAAAACTCAATAAACAACAAAAAAGAGAAGAAAAAAAAGATGCAGGGAAGACCTTGAGAGCAAAAATGTAAACAAAGTCACCAAACAGTGAAGCACAATAGATAACGCCTTTATGAATGATTTCAGCCATTTTATACAGCAGGAAAGTATTTTAATAATGAATAAAATCATGTTAAGATCAATGAAGATTTGCTACGACTGAGCAGAAAATGGATCTTCATAAGTGGAAGTTTTATTTGGATTGGTAAAATATAACCTAAATCTAGAGCTTCAATCCAGGCCACTCAACTTTTATGCTTGGATCTCAAAGTGCCTGTTATAACATTATAACATAAATGTTAATTTAACATTAATGTTATATTATATAATTTCAACCCTAAAACTAGAGATCTAGAACCGTAATGTGGAAAATAACTTAGTCAGATCCTTTAAGGAATGTAATTATTTAACTAAGTGGTTATTAGGTGCTGAAGAAAAGCACTTGGTACCGAGATTCTGCAGGTACAGTATTAGTCAGAGTTCTCATTTTAAGCAGTCTCTTGATTGGTGAGAGGACATGAGGTTAGACCTGGTAGATCACACCATCAGAGAGACTCACTGAGCAGACAACTAGGCCCTGATACAATCCCAGCTAAGGTCTGTAATATGCTAATTAACTCAAAATGCCATTGTTGCTATTAAAACTATATTTATTGATAGTGTTGATTTATTTATTTAAACATTATCAAATGTAAATATTTCAGAAATAATGACCTGAATCAATCCTAAACTGTAGCTAAAGGTTACAGACAAAGCAGATGATTAAAGATGTTTTATTTTTTATCAATTGCAGACAAAGTAGCTCAATATATTAATAAAGAATATGCTATATCTAATTTGACTGTTTTAAAGTTTGATTATACTTTCAGTCCCTTTTATCTGCTCTTAAAATAATCTAACCCTGCATGCTGATTCAGTAGCTAATATGCAGGTGGCTGTTTATTCTACCAACAAGCATGCTAACTACACCAGCTTGTTTCTAAAGTTCAACTATAAAGAGTTAAATACATGTAGGTTAGTGCTGCTTTGGTAGCCAGGTTGTCATTGAATTTCAGCCCTTGGCAGGTTACGTTACAGACTGGCATACACCACAGGAACTGAAACCAGCGTGGGAACATCCTTAGATCAGACGTCTGAAGCTTTATTCTTTAATCCTTTATTTCTACATCTTTTATTCAGAAAAGCCTCGTTTATTTCCCTTTGACACAGAATAATGTAAGAATTATGACTAAAAGCAAAAATCTATTCATATTCAATTAAAAGAGAAAGAAAAGTTGGTTGATTTCTGGAGTATTCTCATGTTTCCATCTACCATAGTTTTCTAGACGGGATCATCCTTATTAATTCACTGCCTATTGAAGCTTGTCAAAATAAAATTTAAATAGTTTAAAAACATGTGCAGCTTTTGTGAAGAAAATCGAATCTAGAAGTTCCAATTTACCAACATGGTCACTGTTTACTAAGAAACCTTTGAATCAGGGTTTCCTAACCCTGGTCCTGGGATTTCATGTAGGAGAACTTGCATCGGAGGCTGACTAAATACTTTTTTGGCTCAGTGTAAATATGTTCAAATGCTCAGGTTAAAATGAGTTGTTTTACCTTCTCAGAGGGACCCTGCCTTTACTCAAGCTCTAGATGACTCAACAACAGCATCTAAATCAATTTAACTGCATTTTCACAGCCTGTTTTAGACATTTTGGGGAATTGTTAATTATGAGGTAAAGCTTTCTACAGACTTCACTGTGAAATTTTACCTTTGCAAGGCAAGCTACCGTTTTTTTTTTTTTTATTAAAATCTATAAATACTTGGTTTCAAATTATGAAAGCAGATTTCATATCTGTTTAGTACTTTAAAATAATTGCACAGAATACAGATGTAGCTTTCAAAAATCCTGAATGTCAATATTAGTCAAATGAGATCTTAGACATGTTCATTTTTAACATTCAGGAGAATACCCGATCCTTCAGGGGTCAGAGCTCCTCACCACCCTAACGTGTTTCAGCCTGGACACATGGTGGGAAGCATGCTGCAGGGGCGGGAAGAGGGACTGCTGGAGACTTTAGTGAGGAAATAGAGGAACCTAAGATGCATTTACATGATTTAAAAGAACACACATCAGGTTCAGTGCTTTTATAAACAGCTAACATATTCAAATATTTATCAAATATTTATATTCTAAGAAAACTATTTGCTGGAAAAGGTTCAACATTTTTCTCTTGTAAATTGCAAAACTTGTTTGACCGTTTCTCAGTTACGGTCTTTGATCTTACTGCAAAGCACTGAAATGATTAGAATTACATATACATAGTAAAATACTCTAATAAAAACCAAATTCTTTCCATCAAAAATCCCATAAAACAGACCTATAAAGAAACAAACTTTTTCTAATAAGGTTCACTCTCAGCTCGTTTTTGTGGCCGGTTGAAAGTTGGATTGTTTTCCCCTTCACAATTATTGAGAAAATTTAGTTGCTAAACGATTCATCCATCCATCTTCTTCCACTTGTCTGGGGTCGGGTAGCGGGGGGAGCAGCTACAGTAGGGAGGCCCAGACGTCCCTTTCCCCAGCCATCTGGGCCAGCTCCTCCATGGGAATCCCAAGGCACTCCCAGGCCAGCCGAGAAACATAGTCCCTCCAGCGTTTCCTGGGTCTCCCCCTGGGCCTCCTCCCAGTGGGACGTGCCTGGAACACCTCACCAGGGAGACGTCCAGTAGTCATCCTAATGAGATGCCTGAGTCACTTCAACTGGCTCATTGAGTCCTCCCCAGATGACTGAGCTCCTCACCCTATCTCTAAGGGAGAGCCCAGACACACTATGGAAAAAACTTGTTTCAGCCGCTTGTATCCGGTACCTCATTCTTACGGTCATGACCCAAAGCTCATGACCATAGATGAGGGTGGGAGCGTAGATCAACCGGTATCAAGAGCTTTGCCTAAATGATTCATTTGAAGAATATTTCTATCATTCTGTTATTTTCTAATAAAAATAATATTGCATTAGATAATACAAATTTAATGTAGAAATAGACACTAAATAAGTATCACTTTAGTTCTTTAAAATGCTGTCCATGTAGAACGTAGGCACCAAATACTTGGCTGGGCCCCCTTTGGCATCGATTAGTGCATCAGTTAATGTGTCACACATGGAGGCGATCAGACTGCGACTGGAATTCATGTTCTGATAATTGCCTTCATCCCGTCTGTATTGTTGGTTCTGGTATTTCATCATTTTTCTAGACAACTAATACAATCTCTCAGTATTTTGTGTCAGAAGCACAGACTCTGGCTGCCACCCATACATGAGGAATTTACTATAAACTCGAGAATGAAATTAGCTCAAAAATCCTCTCTGGGCTGCAGTTTATCCTGGTATAGTACTTGTGCAGCCCTTTAAAGAAAACACCTTTTCCATCCACTTAACTTTATCAATCTGCGTAGAGAAATGATATTACATTAAGCTTCTTTAGCATTGACCTTATAAGCTCCCTGTAACAGCATTCCTACATAGAAAAAAAAAATCTAGCATTATGTAATAATGATTTATGAGAAACCTAACAGGCTTTTTTTTGGCTGTAAGACTTATCAAAATTTATGGAAATACATAATTGAATTTAATGAATCAGACTTGCTCTTTCTAATGTGAATTACATTTACCGACTAAATTAATTAAATATCTGATTTGTCAGATAAAAATATCTTTATTTGCATGTGCTACACAGGTCAGAAGCCTTACAACACACTTTCTGATTTAGTACTTTGTTTTTATGACTAATACCGTTCATAAATTCTCACAGAAGGTGTTAAAATTAAATGAACAAATATGGAATCATTTAGTATGAAAAAGCTTAATTTAATTATTAACTTTCAGCACCTCTTAAAGCATATCTGGGAAGTTCTTTCAACACTTTGCGGGGAGAGATTTTGAAGAATATATAATGTAGATATTTCTTATTCCTGTACGTTTTTAGGTTTGATACCTTATGTGAGAATCTGTAATATAGTCATTGAAACAAACAAATCCATTAAATAAGACATATCTAAGACCTTTACCTGCTTTTTAACATAAAGTAACACTTTTATCCAGTAACTTTAGAATTGAAACCGTAATATAGGGACACAGTGATGTTTTTACATATTTCAAAAACATAAATCATCCATGAGAAACATCCCAGTCATACCTTATGGTAAACATTTTATAACAACAACCCTTGTTTAAGAAAAAATAAGAAAGAAATATCACAATAATCCACAGTGAAGTTACAATATTTTATTTAAGTGCCATTCATGCATATTGGGGAAGGTTGGCGGGGGGGTGGGCGTTGGTATCGACAATTTTCTAATAACACTTGAGTTATTTTACAGCACTAAACGAATACAAAGAGTAGCTGTGTCACCTCATTTGACAAAAGTAATAAACCGTGCAGTAAACAAAAACAGGAGACAAAAAAAAAAAAAGAGAAAGAAAGTACAAGAAATGACAAAGACAAAATAAGGACTACAAAATAAAAACACAAACCAAATATAAACTGTCAACACTGAAAACACTGAATGTAGAACCATAGGTACAGGTAAAAGGTAGTGTCACACAAGAAGCCAACGCATTTTCATCACATATATACAATATAGATATATACATACTGTCTGATGGGAAAAATAACAAAATATTCTTTCCCCGCCTCTTTTATGCATACCCTCCCCCCACCCCAGCAGAGGAGAAAAAAAGGGATGATTGAAAAGACACATTATGTACAAAGCACAACAACACACCAGCACTGAATAAAATAGGCCCCAATCAGCAGTAGATGTTGGCAGTTCTCTCCAATGTTGTAACAAGGTTTATTCATTTTTCAATTGTTTTTTTTTTCTCTCCCCAATAATAACATCAATAATCTCTCTGGCAGGTACATGTCCAGCTGTATTTAAAAAAAGGAAGAAAAATAAAAACCTCCACAAGAAAATACACACAGAGACAAAATGCAAAACTGGGATCCAGTCATTTCTTCACCTTTTCCCTTTTTTTCCCTCTCTTTACTCAATTCATATCCTGTTGGCCGACGAGTTCCTGTAATAGTTTGTTTTCTCAGTCTTCACCTGGAAGAGCTGAAAAGCTTCTTGCCAACACGCAGAACGTTCTCCAAGAGTCCTGATCAGCACACAGACAGCAGTCTCTTTGACCCCTGCTCACCTCCCAGACCATTCACGACTCAGTTTACCTCTCTCCAAGAAATTAGTCTAGAACCTGATCAGCTTTAGTTAAAAACTCGACATCCACCTATACAGAGGACGCTTGAAAAATACACAAAACGTTAGCAAGAAAGGAGAAGAGGTGAACACACACGTTTGGCAGGAGTAAAAAAAAAAAAAAAAGAATATATAAAGAAATGACAATAAATGGCAGTTTTATAAGCTTAGAGGAGAACTTGGGTTTCTTCTGCACAGTGCAGCTCTGAGTGCTTAAGATGATCTAAAGTCTAAACCAGGCTTAATACCTTGCTGCATCATTAGAAAGCGTGGTTCTGTAAAGTTCAACTTAAAAAAGAAACCATTGGATTTGAAAGTGCCATGTTTCCACTAACTAAACGTATCAATAACTGTTCGTCAAATATGAAAGCAAAAAAACGGACAAAATGGACCTTTAAAAGAAAATAACTGTCTGAAGAACTTGTTTAATTTAAACAGAATATAGGAAACTTTCAGGTTATCTTGTTTTGATGTCTGCTTAGAATAAAGACTGGAAACGGAGGGATGAAGAGACTTAGAGAGGATGTTAATTATGAAGCAAAATCTACATTTGGTGCCTGAGATAATTTCCTAATATCCAAATTCATTGAATAATATAAATAAATGTTGGTCACTTAATAAAGATGCTGCTTACTGAGATGCCTGGATCAAATTCAAAATGGACCAATATTTCCTCGACTGACTGACGACTGGCTTATCAAATACTCCATTTTGTCCATATATGTTTTAAACAACTCCAAGTGCACTGATGCATTTTTTAAATTGAATAAAACTAATAATAATAGATAATTTAGGGTTATATTGTGATATTTTAACTTCCGATAGATTAAAAAGCAGAAGCACAATATTGGATCTCACAGGCAATCAGTTTTCTTTTTTGTGTTACAGCTCTTAACTTAAAAAAAGGAAAACCAACAAAATTGATTTATAAAAATTGAAGTGGTTGGAAAATCCTTATTTATACATTTAGACTACAGCCACATTATTAGAGGTTAGTAAAAGCATCATTATTAGTAAAAGTAATATGAGGGTAACCATTTCCAAGCGGCATTAAATGGATTTATTAAAATCTGATATAAAGATAATGACCAAACACCAACTAGATTTGTCTTTAAGTAGCCTACTCTACGTCTTTTATTTATTCTCAGTCCTTTAAACAGAGAATATAACTGATGTTCTGTTTGTCGGGTTTTATAAAGTTAATAGTTTTCAGTCTTTATGCTAACCTCAGCTGACAGGAAGCTGCAGCCTCACAGTTCATCTAAACATTCTAGACATATTAATTTCTCATCTCCCAGTTTAAAAGCCAGAATAGTATTCCAAAAATAATGTACTGCCCCTTTAAACAGAGACAGCGTTGCAGCTGGAGAACACCAGAACCTGACGAAGAGGAGGAAACGGTTGGCCGCCAGTAAGAGCGGCTCAATTAGATATTCTGAGTGAAATGACTCATAGGATAAAATATGATTAGTTCACTGGGGCAAGGAGGAGTTTAGCATCTTCAGGTCAAGTAAACAAAAGATACCCATGTGCAATGGGCTTTTCTATTCCTTTAGCCCATGTCTCTTTCGGCCAGTGCCAGTCGGAATGTGGAGCCACTACAGTAAAGTAGAGACCAGGTCTGCAGAATCTCCCATCCCTCTCTACTGCTCTGTGCTTTAGATAATCTTTTTCGTCTAACTGCGAGAAGAAAACCTTTCTCCCCTTCACTGTGTGCTTCTGCTTTATGCTCAGATAGCATAGAGATGATTGCAGCAATCAATCTTAAACCTAAAATTACAATAAAAAGCCAGTCTCTCACACAAACACACACAACACACGTTCCACCAACATGTGGGAATTATTTTCTTCCTGTTCTTATTGTATTTTAGAAAAATCTAATCTTTATGTCATAAGATTTGGCAGTTTAAACAAAATGACTCCACGTAGATTTGGACTATAACCACAAAATCTGCAGGTAGCATCAACAATTCAGTTTTAAGTTAAAAACTGGACCTTTTTATAATTTATTACACCAATGCATAATGGATGTCTCATTAATCACCAAACAAAAACTCACTCATGTCTATTCTATCCCTAAATGAATCATCTGATACATTGTTTAATAATTTTTGAAAAGCTGTTTCCATCAGCAAATGATCAGCAAGACTTTCTTTTCATCTAGACGTGAAGGGAGATCAGGAGATTTCTGTTCAGTTAAGCTCTTGCTACTGGTGGAACCCAAACTAGAATCGGGTCGGTAGCTGGTATCAGGGCATATCTGGGTTCTAAATAGGTACAAGTTCCTGTGGGGCAAAGGGCAGAATTTGGTCTTTATGGAGCACAGCAAAGTGCAGCTTCCCACTTCCATCTATTGCTGCACACTGCTGATAAGCTGGCTGCAAAGATGTTACTATTATTCTCTCCCTCTTACAAAAAAGAAACAGAAATATTGTCTTTTATTATTATCAGCATTATCTTTCAAGTCTGTTTAATCAGGCTTTATGATTAATTGCAATTTTTAGTAAATACAAAAATCCCATATTCTGAAATAAAAGTTTTAGCATTTATTCAAACTACTTAAAACATAAGCTAGCTTTTCTGCAGCTGCTTTAGAGTGATAGGATATTGTTTAATTATTAATGGAGACTAAAGAAAAAAAGTTTCTGTTGAATTTTTAGAGTTGCTAAAACTTTCAGGTGGATCAACTACATACTAACTTGAGAACCCAAACAATCTCAGACTGGAAAATAAAGATTCATTCAAGACTTTTTTTCCACATACCTGATTTGATATTCTCAATGTTTAAATTCATTTCTGATGAATTTTATGAGAACAAACTCTCCCATAACTGCAGAGATTTTGTGGGATATCTCTCCAGTTAAGCTCCTGGTTTAAAAATCAACCCAGTGGTGGGAAACACCCTGTTCAGATGTTCATCACCTGTAAACCTAAGCTAGCTGTCTCTTCTGCCACAGCAGAGCAGTTTACCCCACAAGTCACCATCAAGCACCATCGTGTTCCTCCGAGAAAGACGGCCTGTGTTTTTTCTCAAGAAATAAAAGTTAAAATAAGCAAACAAAAATATTAAACAGACACAAGAGAGAGAAAGAGATAGAGTTAGAGAGAGAAACCAGCTGAGACCTAACGACACGAGAAGAATTACAAGCTGAACACGTCGCTCAAATCACATGACAGGTACGGAGCAGGGGGGCGGGGGGGGGGGGGGGGGGGGGGGGGCAGGGAGAGGAATTCAGCTTTGGAGGGATGATCGTCAGAGTAGGAGGAGAGGGCTGGCCGAGCAGCTGAGGACCATGTGGTTGATTCGTTAATGAGTTCCACTCGTCTCGAGACAAGTTTGTGATGAATCACAAGAGCATGTCTGACTAAAGATGATTGTCTTCAAAGTAACATTTTCTGGTTATGGTTTGCTGCTTGTAGAATTGTCAGGACTCTAAAGGCTGGTTTCCACCAAAGTTTTTCAAACGTTCCTCTGCATCAAACAACTTGCGGCCTGTCAGCTCAGCCTAGCCTCCTCTGGGTTACACCTCCCCTCCTCCATCCACTTTTATTTGCTTTAACGGGGTGTGGAGGGATGGAGCAGCTAAACAATGGAGTCCCAGTCGAAGTCATCTTGGATGTCATCAGGTTGCATGCGATGCATCTGAAAGGTCCTGGAAGGTATCATGTGCTGCTGGTTCATCTGTGCATGGTGTCCTGAGAGCAGGGACACAAGTGTTAAAAAGTAAAACATTATTCCTCACTTCTCTATATTTTGCTCCCAAGAAGCCAATTTTTAATTTTATTTTTAAGGACATCTTAATCTACAGTTCCTTAAGCTTTCTGAAGATCTTTTAAATATTTTCCTTAAGAAGCAGACGAATTCCATGTTGTTGTGTTGTACCTGTCATTGTGGGTCCTGTGTTGCTCATGGGGGGCATGTGGGGATATCCTGGAGGGCCCATCATAGGGGGCATGCTCTGTCTTGTGTCCATGTAGAGATTTCCTGATGATTAAAAATAAATATTAAGAGGTAGTCTCAGATATTCAAAAACACAGAACGCGTTCCTAAAAGGTCTCATGTAGGAAGCTTGTGCAAAATGAAGCATTTTGGACACCATCTAGCAAAGTGAGTGCAGATTCTCTACGTACAAAGGAAGAGCAGTGATGAATGGAGGGGAAAAAAGTAGTTTCAAGATGTTTAAAACCAAGAATAGTACACCTCTATAAAATACCAGCTCAGCAGGATAATGATCCTACTTTTAAATGCTGTATTCTTTTGGAGGGGCAGACCCTGCTGCATTGGCAGGCGGTCTCACTGGGAATCCCTGTGACAGCTCTCTCACGCCAGCCAATCACCCGGGGATTTCCCCTTGCTGTTTGCAACAGCTGAAAGTGAATATAAATTGTTCTTTGAATTTGTACTTAAAACTATAAATATCTGAATAGATTTTCGTTTATGTTAAAATCACAGTTTTAGATCTTGTTCTACTGTATTGTTACCTGTCTTGTATTTTAATATTTAATTTGTAAAGCAATTGGTGATGTTCTCATCTGTGAAAGGCGCTATATAAATAAACTTACTTACTTAATAGTCATTCTACTTTAAGGTAATCTAGCTGCCAAACACACACACAGATCATTTCTCTTCCTTTTTATTCCTACTACTCTCAAGTTAAACAATATATGCCAACACTGCTGCCATTAACACTGTTCACTATTAGTGCTGCAGAAAGTAGTGTTGGCTCAGAGAGTCTGTGTTTAGCCATGACTCCCTCTGGGATGAAGGCACTGCTGCCATTAACACTTAAAACAACAAAAAAACACCAGTGCTTTGAAATATTATATACATTTAATTGATGTCATCTAAAAAGCTAAGGAAAATCTTCATAAAGACGTTTGTTTTTGGGCACAAAGGAAAAACGTTGCTTCTTTTAACCCAGATTATTTAAAATTGAACCAATCTGCAGGTTTACAGACCTGTGTTTAGGTGCTGGCTGGGCTTGTTGGTGTGCATGGAGCTGTGACACACGGGACTCTGCACTGCCCCCTGTTGTTGAATTACACCGGTGCGAGCAAAGAACTGGTCGATGGACGAGCAGAGGTCCGCAATCTGGCGGGGTTCAAGGCACCAATTGTTCAGCTCAGCCTGTCTCATGCTTTCTCTTAAACCTATGAAGACAAACATGTTTTTTTTATAAAAAAAAAAAAAAAAAAAAGAGGTTGTCCAAAGAACATAAATAGGTTTACAACAACAACACTCTGCAGCAGTATTTATCATGTGAGTAACCTTCAGTGGGTGATGTTAAAAAAAAAACATCCTACCCTGCATTCCTTCATTCTAATTGGATAAACTGACCTGCTGAGCTCGGTGTTTTGGTAATTAAACTTGAAGGCAGTGTTATTTAATTGAGGAGCTCAGTTTAATTAAAGTTGTAATCAACTCTGGAGTGCCGACACATCAGCATTCAATCACAGGCTGGAGCAGAGAGGTACGCTCAGCCTCTGGTTTAAACATCGCAGAAAAGGAAGATGAAAACTACACCAGAGAAATGTAGCATAGAAATAATAGTCTAGACCATATACAGGTAAAACTACAATATCCTAAAAAGGTTTATTTTAACCATGAGGTTAAAAGATTGAAGATTGAATCAGTATAACTATATTAAGCATTTGTTTGAAAAGTTTATTAGATCAGCCTAAATTGATTTTAATAGAGAGTGACTGATATAGGTTTTTTAAGGCTGATGGCAACCGATCTCTGATGCGTGCTATGGACCGTTTTGGCAGTTTTTTCGGGATTATATAAATGTTTTTATTCCTCCGTATACTCGCTAAAAATTACAACAACAAATTTTGTAAAAGTCTCTACAACAATAATAAAGCTTGCTCAAGTCTCAATTTAAACACAAAAGAAACAAATGAAATAAAACATATATACAATAGATAGAAAAATGGAGAGAGAGCAGCAATGCATGCCTTTTACCTGATAATAAGGCACGGCTGTAATGCACCAATGAATCAGCCAATGCATGCACTTGTCAGCCATTGTAAATTAAAGTCAGATGATGTATAAAATACCCGCCAGGGAATTAATTAGTACCCTAAATTTTAATGTTGAAATGATATAGTCTGAACAATCCTAACCCTAACTCTATAGAAAATCTATTGGGTTGAGTTCAAAGGAAGATAAGAGAAACCAGAATCACCTGAAGGAAGCTAATAAAACAACCTGGGGTTCATTTACACCTTAGCAAAGCCAGCCACGCTGCCCTGATTCATGGAAAATAGCCTGACAAGTTCTTAGAGCATATATTTTGCAGAACATGGATAAAATGCCAACAGGCGGTCTTTTCTGTATTAAAATAAGTTTTGGTTTGTCTTAACTGACTGGTAAAATGAATTAGTTTATTTTTTTCTTTGAAAACCAAACTAACCAAAAAATAAGCCCCTGAAAACTATCAGTCTGTGTCATAAATTTATAAAAGATTAGATTTACTTTTGACATCAAACTAAAATACCAAAAATATGTTTTTTTCTAATCCTTTTACACTGGAATAAAAACAAAGGGACTTTGTCATAATTTTAAAACTGATCACCGGCATTACAGCAAAATACAGCATAAATAATAACATCCTGACCCCAGCTTAAAATGTAAACTAAAAACGAGAAGTGTTCATTTATCCGATCGCACCTTGGAAAGGAGAAAGGTCGACGTCGGCCCAGTTATAGCTGCTGGCAATACGACAGCTTTCTTTCAGAGCATCCAGATTTGGGTACCACTCAGACAGTAAACCTGCAACATAAACACAAAGCACTTCATCTGTAGCTTTATTAAGGGCAAAGAGGTTCAAACAAAATAAATTCTGGAAGAAAGAGGTTTAGTGGACATCATGTCTTCTACAGAAAGATGGATAATGAGAGCTGGGGCAGTATGGCCTGATAGTGCATTTTCATTGCAGTCGGGTTTTTATATTTCAACTGGAGTCAAAAGAAAAAGCAGACATCACCTTATTTGACTGTAAAACAGTTCCTTAAAGCGGCCACTAGGAGGAGACAATGGCTCTATAAATGCTGCTGCCTGTCAGGGTTTCAGCGTGGCTTTGTTCTTCACACCAAAGGTAATAAATTAGAAGATGATTTACTGTTTAGCACTTTAAAGTGTTTTCATTGAGCTTTATGACGGGACAAGGAGGTGCACATCCTGATTCATCTGTAAACAGGTCAGGATCGCACCCGAACACATTCATTTAGGTGATGAATTCAGACAAAGAGACAACAATAGGAGACTGAGTACAGAAGGTCTTACCTGTGTTGCAGGCCATCTGTTGCTGGTGGGAGAGGCTCTGGTGCTGCTGTCCATGTGCGGAGGGGTGCTGGCTGTGCTGCGTGTGCTGGGAGGGGTGAGCCGTGTGCTGCGGGTGCTGGCCGTGGGTCGGGTGCTGGCCGTGCTGGGAGTGAGCAGCGTGTTGGGGGTGCTGAGGGTGCTGGCTGTGCTGGCCGTGTTGGTTGTGGGTGCCGCTGTGCTGCGAGAGGTGCTGTGCGTGGGGAGAGCCATGGCCAGGGTGGGCCTGGGCGGGGTGAGACAGGGGGACTTGGCCCGTGTTGGCAGGGTGGTTGTTGTGGTGGTTGTTGGGTTGGTTGTTTGACAAGCTATTCTGAGTGTTAATGGTGCCACTAGGGGAGTGCTGATAGGAGCAAGAGGTGTGGGTCTGCTGGGAGTTATCCGATGGCATGCCCATCAGACCTGAGAAATTCAACAGAAACAATCAGGGACTTATGGACAGATACACTGCACTCCAAAATATTTAAACTTCTCCACATCTTGTGACATAATAAGAACTTTTTATTTCTTTCCTAGATTTGAAGGGGTGGTTCAACACACTAGAGCAAAAATGGGGCATTGAAAGAAAAAATAATACATGTTTTCAAACAATTAGAAAAATGTAGTTTGCATTTTGATTCATTTGCCTTTAATCTTTATAACTGAATACAATACAGTGCTGCTATTGCCTTCAAAAATCACCCAAATTAGAGCGTACACTTGTGTTAAATTAAGTCTGATTTTCTACCAGCTGCTTCTTCAAATGCCTTAGTGCCTTTGCTAGAGGAAATTGATGAACTAACAGCATCATCAAGACCAAGGAACACAGCAGACAAGTAAATGTGCCTACGAATGAGTACTGAATTTGGTGCTTTTGTTGGTAAACTAAATTCCATCTGTACTACCAAATTCCTATCCAGGTTAACTCAAACGGTACCATGATTCAGTACCTTAACGCATCATTGTGATACAGAGGGATTGAAGAGTGGTCGATTTTCCATGGCGGACATGAAAAAAGATTTATAAGAGCGTGATGTCAGAATCTTCAGTAAGCAAAGGAGGCATGGCTAATACAAAACACTTGAGAGGAGGGCTCTACCTTCCAAAAAGCAATGCAGATTACACTTACTGCAACATTTGTGTTGCAAAGTACAAAGCCAGGGGAGGGAATGTTCCAAAGGAGGAAGAATCTGGCTATGCAAAAGGTTTTTCACAAGATTTCAGTTATTAGCAGCCTCAGTTCCTCGGTTACAACTCGGCACCCTGAGCATTTGTTAATCCTCATCCTTGTCTGCTTCAGGTAAATAAACTCAGTGTTTTAGGAAAGGTTATGCATGGTACAAAATTGATGGGTACAGTATTGTTTGAAATGTGAACAGTACTTATCCCATAATCTGCCATAAAACAGGAGAGGTAAGGTAATTCCTTAGTTTTAGGTGTGTTGAAGAATGAATGCATCCAAAGCTAGAGGATATCAACACAGAAGGCAGCCCTGTTTTATTGATTAGTGGACCGCGGTCCGGATTCGGACCCACCTGCTGTCTAATCCGGAGCAAACCTGATTGAAAACATTTATAAATTGTCAAGATCTAAATCCAACAGACAATTTGAGGCAAAAATCAATATTCACAATTGTCTTCCTTACAAGCTGAGCTGGAAAAGCTTTGAAAAGAGATTTTAGTCTGCAGATGAAAACATTGGTAAATACTAAAACTTAAAATTTCAGCAGTATTAGTAGAAATAATGCGATGCACAATTTATTGTTTTACTTCATATATACACACACATAAAGTCAAGTCTGATTCTAAAGTGAAAAAAAGAAAGTTTGAGGGGTATGAATTTTTTTTGCTAGGCGTTGTAATTGCAAACATTATATATTGGAATGCAGATCTTAAAAAAACGGATAGTAATGGAGTTACCTTTTCTTTTATTGTTTACATTAAGTCGTTTCAACTTCTGAGCAGTAAGGATTTGATTCCTTCATAAAATCATCATCAATGTAAACTCAATTTATGGAGTGTTTTAATTTTATTTCATTCGAAGTAATTTGCAGGCATCTCATCAACTCAGTAAATATCTGATATGATTGAGACAAAGCCCTGATGGAGAAAAGACATTAGTTTCCTGCAGAGCTGCAGCCTGAGCACCTACATTTGAGAAAGACCAGTTACCATTTTGTTGCATCAGGGAATGACTCAGCATCAGTTATTTGAAGTTTCTTAAGCTGCTGTTCTCTTTCCTCCAAAGAGTCCTCTATCGTCTTTGGCTATCTCGCTGTGCAGCTCTTCAACCAGCATGACTGGAGCATAAACATCTGCACAGCCAACTGCAATCATCTGAGTGCTGGGGAGGGGCCTTAAGAGGCCCTGTCCTTCACTGTTTTGGCACTGCAAACCTATTCCACTGGAGTGCTTTTAGAGCCGACTCCAGGCCCTGCACCTCCACAATCGGTGCATAACACTCGCCGTAGGGGTGATAAAGGTGCATCTCTTATCGGTACAGAAAGCCCATTGTCCAACCAGGGAAATACAGAAAGCAATTAACGCGGCACCGGAATAATAATGCGAGCTCATTACCTATTATCAAAGCCAGTGAATTAGCTCACTGTCCACAACAGCAGCGAGTGAAATCCTCCAAGCTCCATTATTTACGCTCTTTAATTGCAAGAGCTTGTCTGACAGAGATTTCACTTTTATTCATATAAAAAAAGGTAACAGTTTTCTACTAATAAATCACAGATGATAGATTAAAGCAGAGACTCCTATTAGCATGAAATGCATTTGATTTGTGGAAGTGGGCTATACACAGAAAGCTCAGTCTGCCTTCCTCATGACTCGCTTGTTAAGTGCTTCATGTTCATCAGTCAATCAGATTACAAGCAAAACTGCTCTTTGTTATGCAGGGTTCTGATTTTTTCTCCCTTATAAGAAAAAGGCCCCATAATTATAAGTAGTAGGAACTATTGGTCTGCAAAAAAACTCCTCCATTCCTCTGATAGTATATAGCTGAAAGACCGTTTGAAGCACGACCAGATGCACGTAGCAATAAAAATGAAAAGTCAAGAATTAACAATAAATCGCAGTCATATCTCTTTATAGCCCGTTATAAAATATTTAAAGCTCAAACTCTGAGACTTCCACTTTAGATAGAAAAACTAAGTCTCAGTATTTTGCTGGCAACACCATGAAAGTCCTCTGTAAAGATTTGGATGAAAGCCAAGTAAGCGGAGCTGAATACCTGCACACCTACAGTAAAGCTCATTAGTGTCTAAAGACTCTCTGCAGCCCCAGCTGTTCAGAACAAGCCCACATTAGGAAAATCGCTCTCAGGATCTTCCCGCTGCTTTGATAACTTGAAGCCTAGGCTCGCTGATAGATTTCACCCGGTGCCCTCGGGAGGCCACTCACCTTGTTGGCTGAAGGACTGCTCAAAAACAGACTTGTAAAGGCTGCGGAAGGAGGCACTGAGATCTTCAAAGTCTGAGAAGGGGAGCTGCTTTTCCCTGTCTGGTATGCTGTACTGGGACTGGGGGGGCTGCTGCAGGCTCATCGACTGGGACACAGGCTCTGGATGGCTGGTCACCTTTGGGAAATAAAGGCAGATAAGGAGCAATAAGGATATACAGTGGAGCTACTGAAAACTGGGGAAAAAAGGTTTAATGTTTAACAGGAACTATTGATGGAAACACAGGCCCATCATGTTTTAAAAGATATATAAATCAGATGTGTTTTCACAAGGTGCCTTACAAAAGGCTTAAATATCAACCTCAACATTTTTTCACAAAACAACTGCCCACTTCAATGTGTTTTATTCTATATTGTATATCATCAGTTTACAGTTAAGCATCATCACGCTGTGCATTACTTTATAATGGAAATAAATTGACATGTTTTTCATTTTTCAAAAACTTATTTCACAAGTACAGCATGCTTATGTATTCAGCTCCCTTTAGTAGCTGCATAAAGTTTTCAGACGTTCGTTTATGAACATTGGTGAAGGTACTGCATCATGAAGACCAAGAAGCTCAGACAGGATTAGGAATGACTACTCAGAGATTGCTGTTTAATTCATCATTTGGCTGAAAAAAAAAGTATTGGCATGTTTGAAAACTAGCAAAACATGACTTGAACTGACAGGCCAGAGAAGTGGAGCACCAGTCATAAAAGTTACTAATCCAATCCTAACTTTGGAGGAGCTGCAGAGATCAACAACTCAGTAGGGTTATTTGGTAAGATGATAACCTTCAGTGATATTCCAACATAAATCTTCAGCAAAAACCAAGCCATGTGAAGCCACAAGCCATGTAGGAGAAACAACTGACATGAAAGAAGGTGCTTTGGTCAGATGAGACAGAAACAACACCCTGAACACACCACCCCCACTGCCAAACATGGGGGTATCAGCATCATATCAGGAGGATGCTCTTCCTCACCAGCACAGGACAGCTCATCTAGTTTGAAGGACATTAAATGTTTGCAAGAAATCTGCAGGTGGGAATCCACATCTCATGAATAACTGGGCTCCCTCCACCACTCCAAAAACATGCATGCTAGGCTGCACTTTGAAGTCTCCATTTATCAAATCCATCATTTTAAAAAGGTGAAGTATCAAGTATTCAGTTACCCAGGCACTATACCTGTCATGATGTGTTACAGAAACAGAGAGCTTCTCTAACCCCTTTATGCAGATATGTGATCAAACTCAAGGATAGATCAACTCTTTTAAGCTGTGATTTAGCCTGAAGGTGTGTCCCTCATGCAACATGCATCCTAACAATGCAGATCAGTGCTTACTGCCTTGGCTCACACAGCATTAAGAGAGCAACTGGAACGGACACAAAGCCAATACTCTGGTGGCCGGGCAAAATGTATTTAAAACAAAATCAATAGCAATACCTTGAACAAATAAGCAGCCATTTTATCCATGTATTTGTGTGGGCAGTTGATGTAACACACTGCCTCTGGGTGTGAGAGCTCTGCTCCCTCCAGCTAAGGGTTTGTCTGAGAGATTCAACACAGCAAGGGCAAAAAACACAACCTGTCCTATTTTACACAGCAGTAACCTGACCCCTGTCCACCGTGTGACCGCTTTACAAGAGAGGCCATGTTCAATTTTTAATCCTAACATCTTCCTCTTCTAAAATACAGAAAGGTTGCTGAAGTGTGTGGCTCACGGACCGGCTTGGGGAAGAGTGAAGAGGTGATAATAAAGCCAGAGTGTTTACTGAGAGCTGCAGCTTTGGCTGTGAGAGAAAAAGAGAAAGCGAGAGCAGGCAAGCGAGCGTGAGCACATCCATCAGGCTGAGGCGATCGATGCTCAGCGCCTGGAGCAGGGAGCACTCCAGGATACAGGGAGGACCACACCAAAGAGGGGGCATCTCTGGTGGGAGGACATCAGAGGAAGCGCTTCTCTTTGTCTGGCTTCCAGGAGCGAGTACATTTTTCTTTGTTTCTCTTAACCCCATTCCTGATGTTGTACTCTCGCTCATGTCCACCATGAACCTCAGACTATTGCTGTCTGCAGCTGGTTCCTCTGAAGGAAGCCTCCTGGGGCTTCCCATCAAATCTAATACTGAGTACAATACACTCTCCATGTCTTGCAGGGGTTCATTTTTAATCCTATGAATTTCTCATGTAGTACTTGGTTGGAAAGTTTTACACTATAGTTTATTTTATCTCCCAAGTGTAATTAAATAATACTTTGCTTCTATGCAGCCAGGCTTTCATGGAGTTTATGTTTTTAGAATAGTTCGTGGGTGTTTGGCTGTCTGTGTAGAGGATAACTTGAAAAGTCATGATTGGATTCTAACAAAATTTTTACCAGAGGTGCACCTCGTGTCAAGGAATAATTCATTAAAATTTCATAAAGATCTAGATCATGTGCGAGTTGTAGCTATAGGTTTAGGTCACAATATAGGGGGAAATGTGCTGCTTGGTGGAGAACTGCTCTCTCAGAGTCCTTTTCCAGTTATTAATTAAACAGGTGATGATCGATATTCCTTAAATATTTCTGTTGGTTGTTGGACTCTAGCTGCTTTCTTGATCTTTGTTTCCATACAGTACAAGGAGTAGAAATCAGCTGAATTTCCACTTGACCAGATGGAATGACATCTTTAAAAAGCCTCATCTTTAAAATAAAGTTTTGATTGAGAAACATAGGACGAAAAAGTAACTTTTCAAGGTAATTCATTTTAAAAAGCTCAAACGACTGCAATCATATTTTCATTTTTATCTAATCATTTCATGTTCATTTAACTTCAATTTACTGTTGGATGTTTCCTTTTCTCTGTAGGCTTTCAAGTAAAATTAAACTGATAGACTGAAATAGTAAAACGTGGAAAAGAGATATATAAATGAAATAAGTGATTAGATTAACAATAAGATGTAGTGATATCTGTTTTAAGTTGAAACACTTCAACCCCCAAGTCTGAAATAATATATCACAATATAAAAGAATTTAGATGTTGACATGATTAAAACAACATCACTAAAAAAGAAAAGGAAATGTATCTTTCAGTTCTCATTAAATACTTCTTACACATATCGGAATACAAACAGTTAACACGTTGCTGCTGACGATGTTGTTAGCTTGTAGTTTAGTTTGTGCTACTGGATCCTTTCCTTATTGAATCAGCTGTTAGGCTGGAGCTGAGGCAGAAGCAGACAGACACCCGAGCAGCACTGCAAACAGAGATTTGCTGAAAAGTTTAAGAATTTAAAGAACAATTAAATGATGAGGCATACAGCCGGGTTTTCATTGGCGCCTTTAACTTTAGGCCCCCAGCTCTTTATCAGATTTTAGCATTATGAGCTTGTGGAGAAATAAAACGATAACAATCAAAGTAGTGGGCCTAAAAAAATCGATCTAGAGCAGATTAGGAGTACCTGAATGTCACATCTTCAGAACAGCCCTGTTACAAAACCTGAGAAATGCATCCTTCTTTAATTCATCTCAACCAGTCAATCACAGGCAGTGGTCACCTTATTCCCTGATTGATTCAAATATCTCATTGAATCAGATAAATTGCATCGTTTCTATAGGTCTAACTGACCACGTGGAAAGAAAACAGTATTTGAAGACAGGTTGTAATAATACATTTTTTTTTTTAGATTAATTACTTAGTGATTTTTTTTATCATATCTATAGTCCTCACTGTTTCAACTGGTGTGTTTAAGAACCTTTTAACTCTGAATAACTGAAAGTTTCAGGTTAACCGACCTCAAAATAAAAGGAAAATCTGTATTTCTTACAACTGGTCAGACTGCTTGCCTGAAAACCCTTCAAAAACCTTTTTAGGATCTGCCGTTGAACTCTAAATAAAGACAGCTTGGGGGGAATTTTAAGAAAGAAGGGATGACTCAATATTTTGGCAGCGTCTGCATAGAAACATCAGAACAAATAAAAACACTGATAATTGAGAAGAATTAACACATAAGAGCTGTTGATATCAATTTAGATTTAAGCATTTTTCTCTGAAATCCGAAGATCACTAAAACATATTGAAATGGTAATTTCAATATATAATTTATTATGTGATAAAAGCTTTTATGAACATACTATAACCCGTATTTATGTGGTTCAAATCACTATTTTAACCAAGTGACTCATAAAATATGACAGATATCGGGCCTGAACACATTTCCTTAAGCGAGATTATGATCAGGATGTAGAAAAGTACCTTAAATCAACAAAGCAAGCTGGACAATCTCTCTGGTAGATAACTACAGCATATTTTTGAGGAAATCAACCAACACAACAAACGTAAAACAAAAAAAAAAAAACATAAAAAAATAGTGAAGGCTCTGTTGGCACATGGTTATGCTGCTACAGTTGATGGTGATACTATTGTTAATTCGAACGGCTGTTAAAAGAAATAACAGTTCAATATAAAAGCTGGGATTTTGCATCTTTTTGCACCTCTATTAATACATTTCCCAAATAGACAAATATGATGCATTTCTTACCGGTGTGTAGCTGTGAACACTGCCCACACTGTTGAGATTGACGGAGGCTAGACTCTGATCAGACAGGCTGTTGTTAAGGCTGCTTCTCGGACTATCACTACCTTCCTGGTCTGTGTTGTACAACGCCACCTGAAACACAAGTGCATAAGCTTTCACCCACTAGGAAAAAGAAATCTTCAAATCATTATATCCATGTTAAATCATAAAGCCTTTAGGTGTGTGTACTGACTGATTATTATTTTTCTTTTCTGAGGGTGCCGCTGCATTCCCCTGTCACTGAAGGTTTCTATGTGAGCGTAAAAGGGGGTCTAGAGACAGCTGAGGCATTCCCACCGCTAAAGGTCAGGGCACTGGTGATGTCAGCCACATCTGCTCACCAAGCGCAAATCGGCTTGGGACAGCTAACAAAGGATTTCAGCACAGTCGAGACGCTGACCTTTCAATGTAGAAGCGAAACTAGCTGAAGCACTTCAGGACGACAATCTTAATTATCATCTAAGAAGGTTTATTCGCCCCACCATCTATGCCGAATAAAGAGCTCAACAGACTGAGGACAACAGTAAGCACAATCTAGATAATGAATGTGATAAATCCCAAAGAAGAGAGACTGAGTGCTGAGGTTTGTTTTGTGAGAAGGGAAATGCTAGTAATGCACTGCTGATTGTCGCGCCAGAGAAGAGCCTGGTATTTTAAGACTGGTGTGTGGCTTTGTGAGCTTGTATGTGCGCGCTGATCCATGACTGGGTGCAGCATGGCGGCCTCTGCTCATCACTGTGATTGGAACAGAGCAGGCTCTGTGTTCAGCACAATCAGACAGCAGTAGCAGGAGTCTTCAGGCCGACCTGGTCCTGCCAACATCCTGCCTCGCCGCAGCGGACTGAAGCCTCTTGTCTTCCTGCAGAGACACAGCGAGCTGCCGTAGAGCCTACACAGGAGGTGGGGAAACTTGGGCGGCTCAGACTTCATTCTCTGCTCAGGCTGATGTTTGGACGGCTGACAAACATGCTGGTTCAGATCCAGGCTGCAGAGTTGGTGCCCAGATGCATTAAGCCATTAGAATGGAGCTTGGCTCCTGCACTGGTACCAGGGTTCCCACATATTTCTCTTGTCAAGTTTCATAGTTTTACAGACTTATAAAGGCCTAAATAACGTAAAATTTACTATTTGACCATTTAAATATGATATATTACTATCCTTTAATCCACTCCTCTGTGAAAAATAAGTTATAGAATAACTATGTAAGAGTAGCTCCTCAAGAAAGCAGCTAACTTAACCATGATGTGTCCGCACTGTAAACAAATACCCGCTTTTTCTAATCAGGGAGGCGTAATGTGAGGTAGAGCGAAATTATTCTGGCTCAAGTTGAGACCATGTGACTCTTTTAGCTCATAAACAGCAACTGCTCTCTTTTAGCTAATGTCTACTTTGTAGAAATTTCTGTTTTAGCCTACAAAGGTTTCATGCTTTGCTTAGCCTCCAGAAGCGGCATGTTATAGTGACATCAGGAAACAAGAGACACTCAGAGGGGAAGAGGAAGCTTCTTTTGAAAGTCAAGTGTTTGTTTTCTGGGTTGGAAGAAAACAAATATATTTCATTACAGTTGTATAATAATGTAACTATATTTCAATACCCATATAGAGCTAAAGGCCATTATTCAGCATCTATTTACCTATAGGTGAATTGGGAAGGCTTAAAAAGGTATGCTATCAGACCTGTAAGAGTGTTCTTTGTGGGTTTGGACATTTTTAGAGTAGAACATAAGTATGGAAGGTTATTTCTACAGTGGTTGGGCGTTAAATATGAATTACCGGACACCGTGGAGAAGACAGAACAATGCATAGATAGATGGGTAAACAAAGAGATTAACTAATGGATAGATGAAAAATGGATAGATAAAGAGAAGGGTGGACAGATCGAGGGATAAAACGGTGGATGAATGCATGGCTGAATGGGCAAATTATTGACCAGATAACTGAATGGATGTTTCAATGAAAAGACTGATGGATGGATGAATGCATTGACGGGTGGATAATTAGCTGGATAATTAGCTCTTTACCCAGACTTGGAAAAAAATAAAATCTAACTTCTGCTGACTGCGTAGGAGCTCCGTTGTACACAGCTCCGTTGTACAAATGAGTGAGCATAGTCTGAATCCAGGGAAGGCTGTTCATGGAGGAGAGGTGAGGCACAGAGGGGCCAGAATAGGGGGGGGGGCAAAAAGAATCTCATTAGGCCTTCTTCCACTCGGCGTTCATTAGCCAGAAGAAGACACTCAATGGGCAGCTATGAAAGAAAAAAAACTCAAGCATATCTAAGTAATCAGCTCCACAATGCTAATCAAAAACACAGTGCCAGAGTAACATAAATGTTGTTTAATGAAGTCATAAAACAGGCTTTTATGTCTTAAGTCTCTCACCACAAGCTATTTTTACTCTACTCAACCATAACCTGTGTGTGAGGATTTCAAAATCTCGCTGCTCTGTGGTTCAGCCAAGCCCCTCAGTCCCCTGGGTGAGGACACCCACTTAAGGCATGCATCAACAGTAACAGAGTTGCAGCTTACCCACAAAACGTACAAGCATGCACTTTTGACAAAAACACTTAAGTATAATTAAGTGTGCACAGACAGGTAGAATGGTGCACATAAACACACGAAGACAGGTTTATACAGGCAGGAGCAGCTCCGCAGTAAATGCTATGCATGGTTATTAAGCAACTGAGTCAGAGATCTATTCTTAGCAGTGAATTAAGTAAAAAGCCAAAGGTGTCTTTTACATGGAGGGGGCTAATCTTGAGCGTGAGACATGGATTATGGAATCAAAGCAAGATTGGCCCAGGTGTCTCAGACAAAGCCAGCTGGTGTTGAGCACAATCCCTGCATGCAGAATTGAACGTGAAATAGAGAAAACGTGACCAAAAGGAGAAGAGTGTTCATCTGTAAATAAGCCTAATTAAAACAATCCCTTCCTTTGCTCAATCATTACACCTCAGTGCTGAAATGTCAACACGTTCCAACCAGTGGGTTTCCAGAGAGATCTAAATTTTAAAATGAGGGCTAGAAAACTCTTCATGGATATCATCTTGCATGGATCGTCCTGCAGACAACAGAGAGAGAAGTTACTGCTGGTTCAGTAGTCACCCTGCAGGACTCTCCCATTGGTCTATTGGGGAAGGCGGGAATGAGAGAGAGACTGGAATAGAAGAGAGAGAAACAGAGAGGGAATTCCTGTGGCTTGGCACAGTGCACCGAAAGGGGCGTGGCCAGTGGTGTGTTTACAGTGTAAAGCAGTTAGAAACAAGCTCTCTCCTAGGAGTTTGGCCCTCAGATCTGTTACTGTTTTACTCTGTCCTCTGCTCATTTTACCACCGGAAAAAAACAAAAACAAAAAAAAAACTGCTTCGGAAACAACTGAATGAACCAAAGCGGGAAAGTCTGGTTATTTTACCATATTGTTGCTCAGCTAAGCTATTTCACTGTTTTTGCATGTGGCGGTAGAGTATGGATTTAACTGTCAGCACTTGACATCAGGGCCCCATTATGTGGTCACTGCTGGCGTTCTGGTCTCCAAAAAAAAGAGTGATCTTCCTTTACAGTGCCTTGCAAAACTATCCATACATCTTACCTTTCCACATTCTATTACAATTTAGATTTTAATGCGACTTTTGGAGATAGATCAGCAAAAAGTAGAGCATATTTGGAGCTGGGAGGACAGATTGTGTAAAAATTAAAGAAAGGTTTTCCACTGCTGCAATCACAGCTTCAAATACGTTGATATTTCGGTAGAAGTTTCACACCTCTAGAAAACTTTCCAGCTATTTTTACAATTTTTGCCAAACAGCTCAGTCATTTTGGATGGAGAAAATACCTGAGGGTCAATTTTTTTTAAGTTTTCCCACAGATTCTCAATATGAGTGAGATCTGGGCTTTGACTGGGCCATTCTAAGACATATACAGGTGCTGGTCATAAAATTAGAATATCATGAAAAAGTAGATTGATTTCAGTAATTCCATTTAAAAAGTGAAACTTGTATATTATATTCATACATTACATACAAACTCATATATTTCAGATGTTTATTTTGTTTAATTTTGATGATTACAAATGACAACAAATGAAAATCTCAAATTCATCATATCAGAAAATTAGAATATTGTGAAAAGGTTCAAAATTGATGGCCCCTGGTGCCACACTCTAATCAGCTAATTAACTCAAACCACCTGCAAAAGCCTTTAAATGGTCTTTCAGTCTAGTTCTATAGGCTACACAATCATGGGGAAGACTGCTGACTTGACAGTTGTCCAAAAGACGACCATCGACACCTTGCACAAGGAGGGCAAGACACAAAAGGTCATCGCTAAAGAGGCTGGCTGTTCACAGAGCTCAGTGTCCAAGCACATTAATAGAGAGGCGAAGGGAAGGAAAAGATGTGGTCGAAAAAAGTGTACAAGCAAGAGAGATAACCGCACCCTGGAGAGGATTGTGAAACAAAACCCCTTCAAAAATGTGGGGGAGATTCACAAAGAGTGGACTGCAGCTGGAGTGAGTGCTTCAAGAACCACCACACACAGACGTATGAAAGACATGGGTTTCTGCTGTCGCATTCCTTGTGTCAAGCCACTCTTGAACCACAGACAGCGTCAGAAGCGTCTTGCCTGGGCTAAAGAGAAACAGGACTGGACTGCTGGTGAGTGGTCCAAAGTCATGTTCTCTGATGAAAGTAAATTTTGCATTTCCTTTGGAAATCAAGGTCCCAGAGTCTGGAGGAAAAGAAGAGAGGCACTTCATCCACGTTGCTTGAAGTCCAGTGTAAAGTTTCCACAGTCAGTGATGGTTTGGGGTGCCATGTCATCTGCTGGTGTTGGTCCATTGTGTTTTCTGAGGTCCAGGGTCAACGCAGCCACATACCAGGAAGTTTTAGAGCACTTCATGCTTCCTGCAGCTGACCAACTTTTTGGAGATGCAGATTTCATTTTCCAACAGGACTTGGCACCTGCACACAGTGCCAAAGCTACCAGTACCTGGTTGAAGGACCATGGTATCCCTGTTCTTAATTGGCCAGCAAACTCTCCTGACCTTAACCCCATAGAAAATCTATGGGGTATTGTGAAGAACAAGATGCAATACACCAGACCCAACAATTCAGACGAGCTAAAAGCCACTATTAGAGCAACCTGGGCTATCATAACACCTGAGCAGTGCCACAGACTGATCGACTCCATGCCACGCCGCATTGCTGCAGTAATACAGGCCAAAGGAGGCCCAACTAAATACTGAGTGCTGTACATGCTCATACTTTTCATGTTCATACTTTTCAGTTGGCCAACATTTCTATAAATCCTTTGTTTTTATTGGTCTTCAGTAATATTCTAATTTTCTGATATGATGAATTTGAGATTTTCATTTGTTGTCATTTGTAATCATCAAAATTAAACAAAATAAACATCTGAAATATATGAGTTTGTATGTAATGTATGAATATAATATACAAGTTTCACTTTTTAAATGGAATTACTGAAATCAATCTACTTTTTCATGATATTCTAATTTTATGACCAGCACCTGTATGCATGGCATTATGATTCAAACCATTCAGTTGTAGATCTGGCTGCATGTCTCACTGTAAAGTAAACATCCGCCTCAGGCTTTTCACAGGTCTTCTAAAGGATTGAAAGGCTGTGCGTCATGACAAAAAATAAAAATTATTAATAATTTTTCTTTTAAACCATTTCAAAAGCAAGGTAAAAAATCTAAACTATTTAAAAATAACTTTTAAATGAGTCCGCTCTAACACCAACCTTACTCAACTTGTCTATTGAGCTTAGACACTGAGGCTAAATTTTTTCCTCAGCATACATCTCCCAGAATTCTGTGCAGTTTCAAACAGAGCTCACTAAAATTATAGAGAAAGGAACATATTTTCTCTTGATATTGATCAGGTGCATTTTTTTTTTTACTGATAATGTTTTATTGCGCAGTCCTAAAGGATTGTCCAGTATTTAGTAGAGATTTATTGAGCTAATTTTAGTGCCTGGCCAAATTATCAACATTGGCTAAAATGTGGGCAATATAAAATTACATTTTTGAAAAAAAGAAACTTCGGCGGGGCACCGATTCTACTCCTCTGTATGAAGCACCATATTGGGCAAAAGCTGGACAACACAAGCAAGATTGATAATTGAAAAAAAGCCCTGTGCGCCTTTTGAAAACCGAGCAAGTCTGCCTGACAATGCAAGACCCCGGCCCAGAGTTTTATGTGTGCTAGTTTTAGCAAACGTATTAGCATTGTGAAATATAAATAATTTTATAAAAAATTGTTATAATAAAATAATTTAAGATTATATTGTGTCCCACTACACGTCATGTTGACATGCAGGCTATAACGAGGCCCAGAAATTCAGAGGTTAATTTTTTCATTAAATACATTTTTAAAAGGCTTCAACTTATATATTTAGCTATAATCCTGTTTGGATGTTTTAAAAGCTGCAGCATTATTGGATGCAGCATTTGCAGTATTAAAGTTAGTCAGAATTTGAGTTGGACTATAGTTGGACAGTGCAAATCCTTTGTAAGTCCATTCTCAGGTTTTTTTTTTTTTTTTTACTCTGGCAAATACATGACAGATATCAACTAATGTATCGGATATTGTTTGTTTTTTTTAACCCCCAATATTAATATTGGCCTGGCTCTAGTATTTAGCTCCCTCCTTCTTCCTATCTACTCTGGGTTACAGTTTATAGTGGGTATGGTTTGTTCAATCAGTAGGTCATATTTCTTTCAGTTAACAAGGTGGTTTGTCTTAGTTGGTGACAAAAACAGCACTAAATACCATGCTGTAAATGAAGTGACAGACACGTCATCAACGATATAGTTTATCTATGTGCTTCATCAAATCAGACACTGAAACTTTTAACATAGTTGCTAGAAAAATTTTCCCTTAAAGTCCTTATTGTTTTAGACGTGTCTTACCAATCCAGATTTCAACATCAACTATGACCTCCTGTTGCAGAAAAAATGTAGTCATAGCTGTGGTGAAAAAACCTGCCACTTAAACACAGTGACATTAACGTATGACTTAAGTTATACCAGGAACCAGGTTTTCTTTTTAAAGGTAAATAAAACAGCTGAAGTAGCAAATCTGTCTGTGTTTACTACTACAATATTTTTGATGAATCCTACTAAAAACATCCTTCAGAGCTGCTACTTCTATCATTTTGAGTGTCACTAGTCTATCTGATAGACTACCAAATAAACGAATTGGGTTTTGGGTTGTAACCAAATTGTGCCGTAAAGTCTAAGGGCCTTGAATAGTTTAGCAAGGCAGCGCATATTTGGGCCTGAGAAAATGTCTGTTACAGAAAAATGAAATATTGCCATTTCAGTTCTTCAAAGACACAGCCTGCAGCAAGCCGTCTGATGCTTGTCAAAACCAGCTGAAACACTCGCTCAAACATAACATAGTCTATCCTACATGTACACACTCGCTACATTACAGATGACATGTGCTCAGGCTTTATTAGCGTTGATGTTAAACCATTTTTTTTTTATTATTTGTAGTGCTTGTAGCAAATGAATAAGCGACTCTCTTAGGTTTTTTTTTTTTTTTTTTTAAAGTGCTCCTGAGAGCTGCCCCCATTGGGCCCAGAGGATGAGAGCTTAAGGTTAAAAAGCCTATTTAAATTTCAGAGAGAGGCAGATATTTGCAGCTAACAGCTAACAGTCCCTGCAGCTTTGCTCTGGGATGTTTAAGTGCTTCTAAGCTTTTACAGATGTAAAGAAAAAAAAAAAGAAAAAATGAGCAGACAGAGCCACCAGCGGGGGTGGTCACCTGTAGGTAGTCACAAAAAGTCAGACAAGACTCTGGGCATCAGCTTCAGCTCCATATACAGCGTAAGAAGTGCTTCGTTTCAATAGCGCAAGATTTTGTAGGGTCTAAGTATCAGCGTTAGCATTGGATTTCTGCACACAACATAACAGGCGCCCAGTTAAAGTGAAGGAAAATAAAAAGAAGAACAGGGGCAGCTACTTGTGTATTTTGGTGTGGGTTGCAGAGAAGAGAAGCTTTAGGCACATGAGCAGATGCTTGTGAGTGCCTGCATCTCCCCTCCATGAGAGTGTGCCTCTCTCTGTGGGGAATAGTGCTGTAGGTGGTTGGAGAAGTGGGTGGGGTCAGGGTGCAGCCGTGGAGCCAGGTGTGTGTTGGAGCTGGAGGCTGGATGGCTTGCTGTAGTACCTTGTTAGTCACAGTGTTGATTGCCAGCGTTGGAGAGGCACTTCCAGGGATCATACAGTCCATCCCCAAAGACTCTGAATCCAGGCTGTATGGTGTGGAAGCCTGTGGAGGTGTGTGGGGATGGAGGTAGTAGAACAGAAAAAAAACAAAAAAACAATCCAATTATTGCATACACAGGAACTCACCATAGTTAATGGAGCTACCTATATTAAGGTATGAACAAATATAACACCACCAGATGCAAAATACTAAACCTATAAAGTAGAATGGAGGAGCACCTTTATTTAGGTCATCTTTGAACTGAGCTTTGAAAGAAAGATGAAGACCTCCCCCTTTCAAACAGACCGTGTGCACATGCATGCCCTCTTCTTTCAGGATATACACACTGTTGTCAGAGATAACTCCCCATGCCCGTCTCCTAAAACAGCTTACTATAAGAGGATTGGCTGCCAACAATACAGTTTTTTTTAATTCACAATAAAAATTTATGAGATTGAAAAACAACTAATTTATAATGTCTCAATCTACATGTAAGGCCTTTAGGGGAGACGGTACCTAGGGGGGGAGGGGTTTGAACACAGCAATTGTATTTTAGAAAAAAACACTCTACTTTCCCTCTTTTGTGTTACACTGAGATGAACAAAACTGCGTCAGGAGAGCTTTGTTAAAAACTGATGGTAAAGCTGTAGTTTTCTCTGGTCCTATAATATATACAAAGAGCACAGATAATTTATGTGGGATTTTTGGATACCAATGTCCTTAAAGATGCAATGCACAAGTTTAAAAAAGGTAAATACGATCTAATTTCTTTCCTCAAAATGTCCTTTAAATTGTCCAACATGTAAAATAACGTTTCCTGTATTTACTGTTTATTGCATGTGTCTCTATAGGTTCCATTATTCAGTTCATGTGAAAGTGAATGAATGAAAAGGAATTTATGAATGAATGGATTATGAATTAATGAATGAATGATTCAGGCCTAAAGTGTGATTTATGCTCAACAAGTCCATGAGGTCCATGTGGTTAAATTACATCTTTTAGCTTCCATGACCCTCTGCATCTATGTGGACAGAAATTCCGCACTGCATACCTAAGAAAGTTGGTGTGTCCTGGAAAGAAAAGACTGAGGATGGAATGACCATCCTCGGGGGGGGGGGGGGGGGGGGCGACAACACCACTAGACGAGGAAGTAGAAAACAGCCGTTTACAGCTTTATCTAAGCCTGTTCATTCCACTAAATCACAGGCCGTCTCTATAAATTTACATTTGCAAACTCTTGCCAGCATGAGCTGCTGCTCGCTCGCCATGATTTCCACACAGATACTTCGCATAGTTACAAATTTTCTAGGAGTCTGCGTGGAAGCCCAAAATAATGTAATTTGGATCTCGCAGACGCGTCAAGCATAGACAAAGCATAAAGTAGCCTTCAGTTTAGCTCCGCTCCCCTTCAAAGCAAAAAAAGCACCGGCTTAAGCCGGGCGTTTACTGTGCGATTTTTTTCAATTGTTGCACGCATCTGCTGCTCACACTGTTCGACTAAACCCTGCGTTTAGCCGTAGAGTGTGAGTCAGAGCTCACGATTTATGTTCGGCCCGACGCTCTGATGCGATCTACCTGCTCACACTGTACGACTAAAAACCACGTTGGACTCAGCTCCGCAGTGAGATGGAGCTACTCTGTAGCTCTCTATCCTGAAGCCAAACAAATAGAAGGGATATTAAGCTCACTATAGTAAAACACGCTACCTTGGCACGTTGTGCAATTTTGTGCTGAGGGTCCTAGAAAGAAAGGGCGACGACGTCTTTGGAAAAAGGACGTGGCTGAGCAGGCGTGGCTGCTGCAGTCCGTCAATCCGTCAATTTTGCAGACGGAGCTGCATTTCACTCATTGCACCCCCACCACGCTGCTGTGTTTACATCTGAGAGAAGAATAATAAGAAGAATCCTTCTTTGCGCATGCGCCCTGAGCCATTTGCCCACAACGGTCGGAAGAAAATCAAACGTTTGATATTCTCCCGACCTCCCGATTCCTGATCAGGAGGTGGACGTGAGAGGCTGATCACCGCTCGTAACCCCCTGTACACTACACGACTCACGGTCAGGCTGAAAGTCGGGCTGATTGAAAGATTCTCACATGACTGTAAAATCGCCCCGATAATGGCACAGCGTACGCCCGGCTTTAGCTGAAGGAACTCCGCTGTGAGACAAATGCTGCAGATATAAATGACACTATTATATGTTTTTACTTTTTAGGGGGAAATTTTGAATTTTCAGTGTTTCTGTTTTCAATATTCTAATATGTAAAAGAAAAAAAAATGTCTTCTAAAAGAAATTAATGAAAAACATGCAGAGTAAAATAAACCTTAGATCATTAATGCTGATGAAGGCACTTACATTTTTGAATTTGCTTATCCACTTCTTAACTTTTCAATACATTTTTTACTTTTTCATTTAGCTTTTTTTTACCTTTTTAACTCAACGTAACTTTTAACTTATTCTACAGTAGGTAACATATCATCCATGTGCTTATTTAACTGGTCAATCCCCAAAGGATGTGTACTCCCACGTAGTAGTATGTTTCCTCAATGACTGCATATACGGTAAATCTTGTGCTTCTAGACCTCACTGAAAAACGGTAACTTGCCTTATAAAAGGTTAATAAGCCCAATCTTCTGATTTATTAGCTTCAGCTGACTTATTTTTGAAATTCAGGGCTGCACAGCAGTCAGGCTAATGTAAAGGGTCCATGACCACCAGGTACAAGCAAATTAGCTGCAGAAGTAAAGAAAATGTATGCCTGTCTCACTCTAAGGACTATTTAGGATTCTGACAGTCATTTTGCATTCTTTGCACCTTAAAACTGAAATGTAATGTATGAGACGATGCTTGGTAAAAAACCCCTTCTAATAAAGGATGGTTATAAGGATGTTCTGCTCATAAGATACTAATGTCATTGATTTCATTACCTTTAGTCTTTAGTGAGGCATTTAGCTGTGATTTTTCTCAGAAAGAATGGACATAGATTATATAATATATAAAGGGTTTTTTCAGGATAAAAAACACCTGCACAGATTTTCTATTTAGTTTGGATTTTTTTCCACTGAGGATAAACAACACCAAAAGGCTCAAGTGTATACATCCAACCCCACTTATTTATGGATAGACATCCTTAAACGAGATGAGAGAAACCAAATAAGTTCTTCAGCCATCGACAACTTCTTACATGTTCCTAAACTGTAGATTTAAAACCTGTGAGTATACTCTAAAGCTACATGTTTACTTTTGATCTTGTTTGGATTCTAGAAAATCCTGGTTAAATGTAACCTTTTTCTAATCTTTTAAACATAACTATGCTTGTAATTTACATTCTAAGACCGTTAGGAGACTCACCCGCTCTCCAGACCGTGGCCTCTTCTTTGGCCGAGTAGGCAAAGCGTCCTCCTTAGGGTTGGTGTCAATGGCCCAGTAGGAGCCCTGCACATAAACACACGATTTGTTAGCCAATACAATAGATTATTTTCATAATGTTTCTCTATTCACAACTTTGCTTAAGACCAGACAGGAATCTAACAAAAAGAAATAGAATATTAGGAAATTTCCCCTCTGCCTTCACAGTCTCCTCTCTGCTAAAGTCAGCCCTATCGGACTACATCTTTATTGGAGATGAGAGCTCAGCGTTCAGAGTTTTGCCGCATGTAGGTGGTCTTTGTTAGGAAGTGAAGCAGGGCTTTCCTCCTCAGCGGCTGCTCCTGAGTGAGAGGCTGCTGAGGGCAGCTACTGGTGGTAAAATGTTAAGCCTTTCCTGGAGCTGTACTTCCTCGGCCTCAGGTACTGAAATCAAAGTGAGTGCTGCTGCCAAGGATAAAAAATCGGCTCAAGGTTGTTGCTCTTTTCAAGGTCTGAGCAGGGCTAATGGAGAAGGGGGAACACCACAACCAGCTGCATTATTTACCTTTCCATTTGCCCTCGATTAATTTATTTTTCAACACTGTTCCTGCTCCAAGGCAATAGGAAAAGCGCTCAGTTCTTAAAAAACAAGATTCTCACCCTAAATCGTGGGAAGCTTGTTAATTTGTTTTCAATGTTTCATATAATTACTGTTAAAATCTTAACTGTTGAGGGAGAATTAGATTATCACTTCCAAAATGATTTCCTTTACAGAGAGAATAATTGACACTTCCATTTCCAAATTCTCAGATGAAACGGCAGGACCCAAAAAAATAGCAGCAAACCCAAAGCTTGCTCCGATTAAATCCAGTTAATGTGATTATTTAGAGCACTCAAAGACTAAAGCTGGATCTGGTGGTTCAAATTACAACATATAGAATGTGTGAAGCTTTGGGGTCAATTAACATTATCCTCAGAAGGATAAAATATTCACACTACAATCAACAAAAAACATGGATAGTCATATATAGATATAGGCCATGGTTAACTAAAGCACCATCCTAGTTTTACACTAATGAGAGCTCTAACGAAAGAGGATATGTTAAGTTTTGACACAATTTCTACATTTACTCTTCTCCGTTAAACTGCAGGGGTTGAAAACTGCGATGCAGACCCAAATGTTTTCAGCTTTTAGTCGCACAGAATAGGCTTGGCTGCCGTTTCTTTTAATTGAGGGAGAGGGAAGAATAAGCAAACCCCAACGGGAATAGAGCTTCTTCATTTCCCTCCACTCAACCCAAGAGACTATGGGAAGAAAAAAAAAAAAAAAGAATAACTCATAAAGACTCATTAAAGTGTTCACAAATACAGCAGTGTAGTGTAGCAATGCCAAGTCAGGTGTGTCTTTGGAGTCTTGGGCTAAAACAGAGCAATGACCATTTTGTGGTCGAAAACATAATAGGGAAAAAAGAGCAAAATTTTGTTTTCTTAATTAAAAACAGCTCCTGACAAGAGATAAACTACAACAACTACATCAGAATGACACGGCATATTTATATGCATTATCATGAATTACATCAACTGCTTCCTCTTTTTAATATAAAGTTCAGATCACCAAACAAAAAAAAAACAAAACATAACATCATAATGAAGCCCAAACTACACGAGTTACCGGTCGACTTCACAGCTGCCTTCCCTACCTCCGCGGTTCACGTTCACAATACCGACAACCATCTCATACACAATCTCACTGACAGGGAGCGACATGACTCTCCTATCTCGTGCAACCAGCAGTTCTCATATTCCTGCCACATTACAATATTGATGCAACATATCAAGACCGGCTAGCAGCTCTTTGAAGTTGTCTTCGGGGTGGGGTGGGGAGGGGGAGCAGTGAGGAAAATTCCAAATTAAACATTAAGGATGCAAACATGTTGGCCATGCATTTGGAATGGGATCCATACTGCAATAGATTATTTTGTATTTAGTGGAGCAGCTCCCAGGAGTGTCAATATCAGAGGATTACAGCAAAACATGAAATTAGCATTCAGTCCCCATCCTCTGCACAGCCTGGCATAGCTCTTCACGTGTGCGTGTTGGTGTGTGCGTGAGCTTGTGTGCATATAATTATATGTGTTGTTGCCTGAGTTGCAGGGTGTATTCTGGGAGGCCACAGATGATATCTGAGTTAGGTTTCATGTAGATGGACCTACACTCACTATCATCATCATGCAGGTGCATCTTAGCAATATTGCACACATGAAAAATTGTGCAAAATCATGCTGAATAAAAAAAAAAAAAAGGATAAATGACCAGAAGACAGCAACTGATACCCTCCAAAAACATATGTCACTGCCAAAAAAGCTGACTGTTCACAGTGAATGCATCAGAAGAGTTAGTGGAAGGAAAAGATGTGCTAAAAAAGGGTCCAAGAGCAACAAAAGGTGCAGCTTTTAGAGGATTGTAAACAATAACCTCATTAGCATAAGAGAGATTCACCAGACATGTGCTGCAGTAGTGCTTCTATAGCTATCAAAATCAGGTGTGTCCAATACATGGACCACACATTTCACATTCCATGCATTAAGATGCTACTTAACCAGTGGCGATGTTCAATGTTTGATTCTAAGGGGTGGGCATTTAACGAATCGTTTATAGTTGGTGATAAGGTTTTAGTCATAAGAATTTTTAAAACAATAAACTGGAACCAATATCAAATAAAAACTCCAGAAACTCTAAATTGTCAGATTTTTTAATATCTATTTTTTTATGTATTATTTATTTTTATTGCACTCTCTTTTTTTTCTGTTATTTCTATTTTAATTTAATGCTGTTGGTTTGCTGTGTTTTATAAAGACCAAAAATCCCCACAGATGTAAACCAGGAAGTTGAAGAGCTCTTCCTGTTTCCTTCTGCTGACTAACTTTATTGAAGGGGATGATTTCCTTTTCCAGCTTGATTCGGTAACCGCCAACGTGGCCAGAAAGTACCAACGCCATCTAAAAAAGACCATGGCATTACTTTTCTGACCTGAACATAAATAATCTATGAGGCAACGGCCAGAAGGATGATGCAACCTGGATTTCTTTCAAACCTCAGCAGAGCCACAACTGATGCTCTCCATATAACTATACATTGATGCAGTCAGTCATGCAATGGAGCCCCAACCAGTTGTTTAGGTCATGAACTGCAAATGACACTGAAATGCTTTTTGGTAGGCTGATGATATATGTTATGTTATGTTATATTATATTAGGGCAGTACTTAAAAAATAGATATAAAGATTAATATTGATGTTTTTTAAATAATTTAATATTGGTATTCTGGTTTTGAATATCGATATACCTCCCTACCCCTAGGGGGGATTATTACAGCCCATTATTACTGTTCACAGCAAAGAAGAATTCAATGAAAAGAGACAAGGATTTGACAAAACAACTGCCATTTGCAAGCATTTTAATGGTGCAGTAAGCTATACTGGAAACACGACCAACTTGTGGGCTCACCTACAGAGGCACCATGCTGACAAGCTAGCAGCACCAAAGACACATCAGAAACCTGTAGATCCAACACCACGTATAGGTTTCCATCTACCTCACCCTGTGCCATTAGGATTACGGACTCACTGGCTGCCTGGATTTGCTACATGGTCATTTAATTACAGAGGACTGGTAGCAAAAGGTGTTTGTTTTACAAACACGAGCCATGCAGGGGTTGACTTTCAAATTTCCTTTGCCCAGAAACAGTTTTTACTTGCCCAGTATAATGTTTGATAAATATAGTTCCTAATATTCATTTTTGTATATATATTAATGAAACATGTTTGTTTTTTAAATGTTTTTTTGTAATTCAGTATTTTTTAAGTTTCCAGGTTCCTGGTGTGTATATGCATGCATCAGATAATGAACTCAAGCCTACATTACTGTGTTAACATGCTTTCCATTCCTTCCTACACATTCTTTTCAAACTAAACTTTGCTTTAAACTGTTGTGTGCTTGGAAAAATATAAATTGTAATGTTAAAAATAAAAAAAAAACCTGACAGGTTAAAAACTTAAGATAAATCACAAGACAGAAGTCAATATCACAAATGAATAACTTATTTTAGAGTCACAGTATGTTTATATGTTGCATTTCATGTGCTTTGCCCACACTCTTAACCTTTTTTTTTTTTTTCACTTTATTTTTCTGTTAACTGTTTCTGTGTTCAATATATTGAACGTATATATAATATTTGGCTGGTTATGTTGATTGAATGATCTTGATCATTACTTTAAGAGTAATAAATATCGATATTGGAGTCAACTCAAATCACACTGAGCTATATCTAGAATAGTATTGTATCGTGAGCTATATATTGAGAATCGTATCCCGGCCCTATATCATATCATATTATAAGATTTGTTTTATTTGTCTGATGTAATATAATATTCTGAGAAGTTTGGAGGCTTTTATTAGCTGGGATCCATAAACACCTGTATTAACACAAATTAAATAAAATAAAAATGTCTGTGAATGTGTAATAATACACATTGAACTGAGCCGCACCTGTGTAAATAGTGGTTTTTAAACTCCCTCTGAGGGAGCAGCGGTGCTCATCTGGGAATCTTTCTCACCAGCTTGATGTCACTTGAGATTGGGAGTTAAATCGAGCTAAAAAAGAGCAGCTGTAGGTGGTCCTATTGAGATTTGAATGTCAAATTAACATGGACTATATATTCCAATGCAGAGGAGGAATACAGGAGGCAGAGAGCTAACCTGGAAACAAATGAAGGCAGACCCCAACCAAAAAAACTTCAGGGTTGATAGTTTCTGGAAACGATCGAATGACCTTAAAAATATTTCTGTCCAAACATTTTACTTCAACTGACTTCTCCAAATCCCAAACTATTGCCTGCGTTGGTTAAAAGACAGAAAAACAAGATCAACACTAAAAAAAAAGACATCTACTTCTTTACATTTAAAATGTATGTGTGAGGGGGTTGGGATGTTCATGAAAAACATTCCTTCTGCTTTCAGTCTGTCAAAAACCTGGCAGCCATTCAAAGTTAACATTTTTCTACCAGGGAGAGCATGACACAACCCCAAAAAATATTTCAGCTGTGAATTCTGCCACCTGAGTCTGCTTAGTTGAAATCTATCACATTTTCTAAAAAAAATTTTTTTGCTTTATTTTTTTCCCTCCCACTTGCATGTCTTAACTGACCATAACAAAATAGTGTATCTGAGTCTTACCTTTCCAGGGTCATCTTTGGAGCGAGGCACTTTGAGAAAACATTTGTTTAGTGACAGATTGTGCCGTATTGAGTTCTGTGAGGGAAAACAAAGAGAGAGAAAGGTGTCGAGGTAAGTAAACATCAAAAACGCTGATTGTACGAAATAAGTTTGTAACAGGGCCAAACATTGGTGCTCATAGCAACAATGCTACAAACACTGGCATCTTTTTGCATTGATTAACAGTCAGAAAAGAGCTTAAAGAACATGAAACATCTCGTCCAATGAACTCCAATTGGGTTTCACATCATATCAAATTCCACGGGTGCCAAAAATAGGAGCAACAAGGAATCCCACACTGGGATGGCTGCTGATAGTAAGGCCTGATATTAATTAATGCTCTAGCAGTCTCCTGTGGGGGCTAGAAATAAATTATGTAGATCATTCTGAAAGTTAACTCATTAGTGTGTTACGATCTGGTCCACAGTGGTGGTTTGGGAAATGTATCCAGCTGTCTGATATAAAAAGGGAAGGTAGGCTTAAGTAGCCCCACACATTAGATAACAAACACTAGGTTAACCAGCAACAGCAAAGACATCCACCCACATCTTCTACCCGAAGAGCCAGCTGCAGACAGACCACCTGAGTGTTTCAATTGCAAATGGATTCACATCCACTCAACTTTATGGAGTAGTATTGACAGATGGTCACAATAAGAAAATAAATAAAAATAAGGGTAGGGTCCTCTAGAGATTTCTGCGCAGATAGTCCCTCCATGACAGACTGACCAGACAGGTTTACCATTGTCATGTTAGAATTTCACACTTTTACTGACTTTAAAAAAAGCCTCTGGTATGAATACCATGCTTATTGCAGGTATCAAGGTCAGACTTTAAATATTAAAATGTGCATGAATAACAAATGCATAAATGGAATGGGACAGGAAATAAAGTCTGAAAAACAACATTTTCTAAAGCCTTTTTTAATTTTTGTTTAATACTCATCCAGTACTGAAAAAATGCTGAAATGTTATTATTTTCCAGACAAAATAAAGACTCTAGATAGAGTTACATCTCCCCCATGTGCAAAGGATGGAAGCCACTGGTTGATCACAGATGCCAATCCCCCCATTAGAAAAAATAATGATCTCCATCCCACTGATCAAACCTGTGAACTGAAATACCTCAATATGTCTGGATAGAAATCACACAAGATAAAGACGTGTTAGAAAGTAGGGGTGTAAATCACACCTATCATGGCGATTCGATTCAGTATCGATTTCCTGACCCGGCGATTCGATTATTTTTCGATACTCAATAATAAACCACGATGCGATTCGATTCGATTAATTGGTTCTATTATTTATTTTTTTTTTTTACACCTTACAGGCTAGACAATGTTTCAAATTTGAAATAAATCAATAAAAGCTGCAATAACATTATGCTTTTTTTTCTTTAGAAACAGCAAATAACAGAAATAGAAAAGTTGTACTCGACCTATTACTATTAAAACCTCATTCACTGTAAAATAATAATACCCCTGCGTTATATATTCTAAAAGGCCTTGCATAAAAAAAAATACTGCACAAAATCAGTTCAATGAGTGCAATTCAATACCTCAGCTCCAGAGTGTCAACGTCCCCGCCCCCTCCACAGACGCTCCGCTGCACCTCTCCCAAATTGTAGCTGACCGTAGACAGGAGGCCGCCTTGTTTTGTTTTTATGACCTAAATTGCGGAAAACAACTCTTGAAGTTGGATCAGCTAGAAGAGCGAGGTGCGCGAGAACGCTGGGACCCTTTTTCCACCTGGATCTGCAATCTTTTTGGCCCTCGTGTCCCTCCGTTGTCGGACAAACTCGCCCCCACTTCCTCACCACCTCTGCCGTATCTAGACCCACAGCGTATAGCACAGACCACGCTTCCATATTGAGCATAATGGGGGGAATGAATCGATACTCTTGCGAACGTATCGATGCATCGGATCGTCGGCTGTTGGATCGATGCATCGATACAAAACGATTATTATTTACACCCCTATTAGAAAGGTTGTTCCTCTTCACCTCCAAGCTAAAGCCATCCTCTACTCTGAATGATTCGATGCTCACTAATCTGTCACCAAATAAGCTTATTCAAGATTCTAGCTTTTGTGACTGGAATATTGAATTTCCCAGAACCAGAGCAAGGCATTTGTTTCATCAGGCAATAAAACTTGGGTTTCAGGTGCGCAATGACGCACACCGCTTTGTTTTCATGACATATGGGGACATTCCATTGACTTGCATTTATTTTATATGGCTTAAACCTTACCCTGTACCTAACTATTACCAAGATGTACCTAATCCTAACCTAAACTCAATTCACACCTTAGTCCTAAACCTAACCCCAACTCAAAGAACAGAACTTTACCATATAGGGACCAGTAAAATGTCCCCATATGTACCTGTAAGTCCTCACATGTACGATATTTTACAAAATACTTCCTTCACATTGTAGGTAAAACAAGACCACACACACACACGTTACAAAAATAATCATTTATAACATTTTGAAATTTATGAAGTTGACAATGACCCATATGAATATTTTTGCATACAAACATATATATAAATATATATATACATTCTAGACTGGATCTCTATATTTAGTAAACTGATCAATTTCTTCCACCATATTTATAAAAAAAAAAAAAAAAAAAAAAATCCTATTCATTACTGGAAATAGACTTGTATAAAAACCTATCTCAGATCAGAATGATGTTTTATGGTAGCATTGCTCTCCGAGCTTCATAACGAGATAAGGAAGTGCTCAGGCTTGCTCTGTGATTAGAACTCTTCTGTGGTCTGAATGCAATTAAGCCACAGGCGCCTCACTTTTCTTCATAGTGAGATGTGCACAGTTGTGACGCAGAGAAAAATCCAACCCTTAAGAATCAGATCTCAAATATCATGCAGACTTTAAAAATTGATCTTCTTAGACACAATACCAGTAACCTGAACGCCTCAGGTAACTAGTTCACCTTATTGTTGTGCGTTTGCTGATAGGGCCTGCTCAAACCAATCCTGGTTACTTTTTGAAAAACAGCAATAAGGCAAAATCTTGTTATTCTGGTTGCATTTCCTCCCTTAGACTTACTAGTCAAGAGATGGCTTGGATGAATACTGCACCATCATGCAAAGGGAAGAGTGACAAACAGAGAAGATATTCTCAAATTAGTAAGCCCATACTTCTTTCAATCCTTTAAACGTATGAAACAAAAGATGGCCTGACGGGATGGTTTCTAACACAAGCTTCTCAATTCCTGAGAGCCATAAGTCCTTCATACAATTTGCTCCAAAGTCAGCTTGTAGAGGTGGGGGCAACATAATGGCATTAAGACGAGAGGGGAAAAGAGGTGGCTCGTTCCATTAAGGAACATCTGCTTGGTCTAAATCATTGATGCAGTCAAGCAGCAACGGCTTGCTGCAACATCTAAAGTTTATTTTTTCATGAACCTTGCTTTCCTGCTCCACTGTGCTACTGTGAGGTCATAAAATGAGAAAAATCAAGGTTACACCATGTAGGTCTGTATGAAATACTCAGCATGATGGAAATGATGGCCAGAAGGACATAAAGTTAATAAGAAAAGGGGTGAAAGGAAACATAGGTAAAGAGGAAAAAAGGAAGAATAGCTGGAAAGAAGTAAGTTTGGAAGGAAGAACACAAAGGAACAAGGGTAGGAAAAATAGAAGGAAAGTAAGGGGAGAAGAAGGGAAGAAAATACCTGAGGAAGAAAGTAAAGAAGGACAGGCAGAGTGTGAACCCTTAGAATCGGGATGAAGAATGAACTCCTGAAACAGACAGTCTGGAAATTGTTTCCAGTATGTTTTTGAGCCTGTGTAGGAAACCATAGACCACAGATATCAGCAAATATGCAGATCTACGGCGTAGGGAAATAAAGTAGGAGGAAGAGGTCAGAAGGTGTTAGCAGATGTACACAGAGTGAGCCAGACAGAGCTCTCTGCAGGGGGTTCTGCCCAATGCCGCCTAGCATCTTACCTGCAACCCCCACAGAGCTCTCTGCATCCATAAGGCAGAGAGTGAGTGTGTGCACATCCATTTCTGTGTATATGGGATACCTCCTACACACCTTAGAAACCGTGTGCACACACAGGAACGTGTCTCCCAACAAGTGACGGTGATTTAACTCACCAGGACAGTAGTAGAGGCATAGGCAGCTCTGCACTCGTAGTCAGGACCCCCCCTCCTTCTTTCTCCTGCTGTGAAGCGCTACAGCTCGGTGGAAGGGCCGCCAGGGAAAAAGTAGGTCAGGCTGACCTCTGAGCTTGGCGTGTCAAACGTTCAGAGTGAAGCTGAAGGGACAGGCCGTGTCAGAGCCCTGCTCCTCACAGCTGGGGAGGAAGAGGCGCCCCGCGCACCAGGCCAGGAACCCAAAGGAGAGATCGCCGCATGCTACTTATACAGACAAGTGCATAAACAAATATACCAGTCAGGACGTATAGGGAACCAAGACCAGCTGAAGGAGAGACTTGTGTAGCGGTCAAATGGCAATAAATCAATGCCATGCCACAGTTGAGATTTTGCCAGTTTCCCACCATCTATTTGTAACTTCATGCCTTCATACAGAGCTTAGAGAGAAGAAAGATTTAATCAATCATCTATATTATTCAGTTAGATGTTGAAAATTTAACAGGCAGTCTCTAACGGCAAGTTTACTCAAGACATTTTTAAGGCCAAACTAGGAGTGAAGAAAAGGGCCCTAAGTGAACATCAGGGCAAAAATATTGCATTTTATAGCAACAAAACTATGAAATATAAATACATCTACATCTTTTGCTTTTCAAGGTTATACAAAGTTTTAAACCAATTGAATCTGACAATATCTGTTAATTCTCACCCTCCGAATCAAGCATGCATATTAAGGATGATAAGGAATGGAAATCTCTCACTATAATCAGGCAAAGGATGCTGTTATTCACAAAAGCAAAAACCTTTTTGCAGAAAAAATATTGTAGAAATGACAATATCCAGTGATTAAGACAAGTGAAGTTTGAAGGACAGAACTTTTGAAGTTTACTGACAAACTTTCACTGAGGAAT